AACGGTTCAGCGCCTGGAGCCACACATGGCAATTGACAAAATGCTGCAAGAAAAAGAGTTTCTCATTCTTTCTCCCCACAAATAATGAATGAATCTCGAATCGACTGTCTTTGAAGCCAACGGTCCGGAGCTAGCGCATCAGATATAGGTGCCTTCTTCGTGAGCTTTTTGCTATTTCCTCCCGTGACGCCGCGTCCTGACGTTCAACTCTTGTTTCATTCACAATGGTGCACCAGGCGAGCATGGATCTGGAACCCAACTCTCCACAAGTTTTTGTGAATGATTGCAATAATGAGGAAGAGTCCCCTCCTTTTCCTCCGCTCGATTCCCTCCCACAAGTTCCATCACCATTGCCCAGCCCTGCCTCCCCCGTGATGGCTTCGCACATCTTGAAGTCTGTCAGGCCAAAGAATCCTCTTGAGAAACTTGTACTCCTTCCATCCGTCGTCATGATATCGTGGGCTGCCTGGCACTCGTCGTCGTCCTTCTTCCCTTCTTACGGAGCCCTCCCTCTTCTTCTTTTCCTTGTCACGACCATTTATCTCCTGTCCGTGTCTCGTTTCGCATCAAGCTTCAATCTGTTCTCAGCACCATTATCACAGCGCCTAACAAAGGCCGACAAGAAAGCAATCAAATATGCCAACGCCAAGAAACGGCTCAAACACACCCGCCAAAAGTACCATCGGAAGAAGTCTCAAATCTACAAGGAGTTGACGGAGGAGGAACGAGCGATCGTCAAGGCGGGGATAGTAGCTAGGGAGGAAGAGAGAGCGGCGAGATTTGCAGCTGTATTGGCGGTCGATGCACCGTGGTTAAGAGCGCGGGAGAAAGGCTCGAGCCCAAGACAAGGAGGGTCGCTTCCTTTCCCTAAGAACCCGGCGATGGGAAGCCCGTGGGAGGCGGACCAAAACGAAGAGGCCGACAGACGACAAGAGGCATCCCTAGCTGCCCCCCCTCCCTCCTTCCCTCCCTCCCTTCCCCGTCACCTTCGCATCGCCCTAGACCTGCACTACGGGGAACGCATCCACGGCATCCGTGGCACCCGCTCTCTCACCCAGCAAGTGGGATGGTGCTACCACGCCCTGAAACGCGCGTCCTCTTTCGACAACACCCCTATTTTCCACGTCACTTCTTTCCAAGGGCCCACTGCCGATGTCCTGCGCGGGTCTGGCGTTCACAACTGGCCCATCTACAGGCATGCGGCCTCCGTGGTGGAGGTTTTCCCCCGCCCGTCCATCGTCTACCTGACGCCCGATGCCGACCAGGTGCTCGCGGCTCCTTTGGACTTGAGCAAAGGTGAGCTTGTGCCCTGGGAGGGGTAGACCCGCCTGTTGGGCTTCGGGAGGGGGGCTGTCCCTCCCTCCCTCCCTTGCCTGAGCACCCACCTTGCCTTCTCTTTTCCCTCCCTCCCTGTCCCGGCGGCGCCCTTTCTTCTCCCCGTCAGTCTACGTCATCGGCGGGATCGTCGATCGTACGGTCGTCCGCGGCGTCTCCGCCCAAGCGGCCAAGGAGTGGGAGGTGGAGACCGCTCGGCTGCCATTGGAGCTATTGGATCTGAAGGCGAAGAAGGCCTCGCGCGCCCTGAACGTGGACACGGTTCTGAAGGTGTTGATGAGCGTTCACGCCAACAAGGGGGACTGGAGGGCGGCTTTGACGGAATGCCTCCCGAAAAGAAAAGCGGCGGCCCGGAGCAAGAGGGAGGAGAAACGAGACCGGGAAGGGCCGGGGGAGGGGGGAAGGTCGGGAAACGAACAGGACAAAGAAGACAAAATACCATCATGAACCAGCGCGGTCGTGGAGAATTTATCATTCTTGAGCGCGAACATCTTGTTCTTAACTGCAGCAGAACTTTGCTCTACGATACC